CAAGGCTTGGGTAATCTTCTTTTTGTCCTTCAGCCTTGCTTCTAATTGCTTTTTCTTCTTTCATTTCTCTATTTTTTCCTCTTCTTCCTTTTAAATTTTCTCCCTTTAGGGTAAAATCACTCTATTGAGTATATAATTTTCTGATTTGTCTTAGATTTTGTTATATAACTATAAATCTTGTACCTAGGTTTAAAGGTGGCAAATTATTAGTCATCACAGTTTGTCATTTTCCAGCCTGTGTTTGACAATATTGTTAATACTGATGGTACTACTTTAGCCAATGTTTCATAATTGTTGTGATCAATTGATTTTCCTTGAATGCCAATACCTAGATTGTCTGGAGGTCATAAATAATACTACAGCCCAGTACCAAAAGACTGAGTCCTAGACCAAAGAGGCTTCCACCTTTCATTCCTAATGAACAGAAGAGGATCCTAGGACAGACTCAAAAGCCAAAAGCCAGCTATTCCTAGAAGACATCTATGAAAAGTAGTCATTTCCTTAAGGGGGGTCTCCATACTAGTACTAAAGCTACCTACCATAAGCAATTTATAAGCCTCAATGCAGAAAACAAATATAGTGACACCTCAGTTCATGAACTTAATTTTTTCCATGATTCTGGTTGCAGAATTAGCTCCATGATTCTGGTTGCAATAGAGTGAAGTATTTCAAGCCCTAAACAAACAAACAAACAAAACCCAAAAAACCTCCAATTCAGATTGTTGTACCCTGCAAAATTATCTTTCAGAATAGATGGAGAAATAAGATATTTCCATGCTAAAGAACACCTCAAGAAATTTATAACCACCAAACCAGTACTCCAAAAAGTTTAGAAGGATATTCTAGAAAGAGACAACAAAGAAAACAATTCTAAGAATCCCAGTAGAATAAATCCACCAGGCATGACAACCAATTAAATAGAAGGTAAAGAAAGGGAAGCAATTTCATGAAAATAATATAATGACAAGGGTAATCCATACCTATCAGTTATAATCATCAATATGAATGGTCTCAGTTCACCAATCAAAAGAAACAGATTGGAAGAATGGATTAAGAAACAAGATCCAACAATATGATGCATATAAGAAACATATTTAACCCAAAAAGAAACTCATATACTGCAAATCAAAGAACGGAAAATAGTACCCCATGCAACAGGACCCTGGAAAGAAGCAAGAGTAGCTATTCTATTTGCAGACAAAGTGGATTTCAGGCCAAAATGGCTCAGAAGACACAAAGAAGGTCACTACATACTTGTCAAGGGATCAGTCCAATAGTAAGAGATAACAGTCATAAATATATTCACATCAAATACCAGCACACCCAACTATATAAAGCAAATACTGATGGACATGAAAAATCAGCTAAGCACCAATATAATTGTAGTGGGGGACCTCAATACCCTGTCAGAAATTGACAGATCAACTAGACAAAAAAAGCAACAAAGAAATATCAGAGCTGAACCAAATCCTTGAACAAATGGACTTAGTAGATATCTACAGAATGTCCCACCCAACAACAACAGACTACAGCACATATGAGACTTTTTATAAAATATACATATTAGCCAATAAAACATGCTTAAGTAAATGCAAACAAATTAAAATTATCCCATGCCTATTATCAGATCATAGTACAATCAAATTGGAAATCAATGGCAAGAGAAACCACAAAAACTACATAGACACATGGAAATTAATACCCTCTTGAACAATCAATGGGTCACAGATAAAATTAAAGAAGAAATTAGACAGTTTCTACAAGTGAAGAATAATGCCAGTATCAGAACTTATCAGACTTACAGAAAGAAGTCTTATGAGGGAAGTTTATAGCAGTGAATTCTCACATCAGAAACACAAAGTAAGCTCAAATAACCTATAGTTGAACCTCAAGGCTCAGAAAAAGAAAACTAAACCCATGTAAGGAAAGAAATAATAAAAATTATAGCAGAATTTAATGCAATTGAGACTAACAAAATAATACAAAGAATGAATGAGACAGAGTTGATTCTTTGAAAGATTAAATAAAATAGACAAACCCTTGGCTAACCTCATCAAAACAAGGAAAGAAAACATCCACATCCGTGCAATTAATGATGAAAAGTGAAATCACAAAGGATCCTGCAGAAATCCAGAAGATCCTCAGTACCTACTTTGAGAGCCTATACTCTAAAGAGGGAAAATTCAGGAGAAATGCACAGATTCCTCGATTCAGCTTTTTACCAAAGCTGAATCAAGAAGATTTAAAAATTCTAAATAACCCAATATCAGTCAATTAAATTGAAGAAGTAAAAAAAAAAAAAGCTACCCAACAAAAAAAGCCCAGGCCCCGATGGATTCACTACTGAATTCCACAAGAACTTTAGAGAAGACCTAGTGCCACTACACCACAAAATCTTTAATGAAATCGAAAGGGAAGAAATACTCCCAAAGTCATTCCTAAAAGCAAGCATTACACTGATACCAAAACCAGAAAAATGCCCCAACCGAAAAAGAAAACTACAGGCCAATCTCTTTAATGAACATAGAATGCAAAAATCCCCAATAAGATAACTGGCAAACAGAATGCAACAAATCTCAAAAAAATTATACACCATGACTGAGTAGGATTCATCCCAGGGATGCAAAGATGGTTCAACTCACACAAATCAATAAATGTAATACATCATATTAATAGAGCCAAGGACAAAAATGACATGATTATCTCAGTAGATGGAGAAATATTTGACAAAGTCTAACACCCATTCATGATGAAAACCCTGCAGAAAATTGGAATAGAAGATCTTTTTCTTAATCTGATAAAAGCCATCTATGACAAACCAACAGCCAACATCATACTAAATGGTCAAAACCTAAAAGCTTTCTCTGTAAAATCAGGAAGAAGACAAGGATGCCCACTATCACCACTCTTGTTCAATGTACTTCTGGAAGTATTAGCCAGAGCAATTAGACAAGAGAATGAAATATAAGAAATATGGATAGGAAATGAAGTTAAATTATCATTATTTGCTGGTGACATGATATTCTATGTAGAAACCCCCAAAACTCCACAAAAAACTACTAGATTTAATTACCAAATTCATCAGCATAGCAGGATACAAAGTCAGCACTCAAAAATCAATAGCACTGCTGTACATGAAAAACAAACCCACTGAGACAGAAATTAGAGAAACAAAAACTTTCACAATAGCATTAAGAAAAATGAAATACTTAGGAATCAATCTAATGAGGGAAGTGAAAGATCTTTACATTGAAAACTATAGTTCTTGGGCCAGAGATTTAGCTCAGTGGTTCTGCCACCTGCCTCAGAAGCACAAGGTCTGGAGTTTGATCCCTGGTACCAAACCAAACCAAACCAAACAAAAACCCCTACAGTTCTCTGAAAGAGAAGATCAAAGAAATCAGAAAATGGAAAGATAGCTTTTGTTCATGGATATGTACAACCAATATAGTGAAAATGGTCATACTTCCAAAACTGTTACACAGATTTAATGCAAACCTGATAAAAATACCAATGGTATACATCACAGAAAGAGAGAAAACAATCCTAAAATTTATGTGGAACCAGAAAAGAGACCTAGAATTGCAAAAGCAATTCTGGGCAACAAAGGGAAGGATGGGGTCATTCCAACCCCTGATTTGAAGTTATACTACAAAGCTTAGTGACAAAAACAGCATGGTATAGGCAAAAATCAGACTTGAGTATCAATGGGACAGAAGATGCAGAAACAACTCCAAGCATGCTCAGCTATCTTATCTTTGACAAAGGGCCAGACACCTTCACTGCAAGAAAGACAGCCTCTTTAATGCATGGTGCTGGGAAAACTGGATTTCCACATGCCAAGAAATTAAACCTAGGGGCCAGGGATTTAGCTCAGTGGTTCCAGTGCCTGCCGCAAAAGCGCAAGGTCCCAAGTTTGATCCCCAGTACCAAAAAAAAAAAAAATTAAACCTAGACCCATATCTCTCATCATACACTGAACAAGTCAAAATGAATCAAAGATCTAAATATTAAAACATAAATACTTAATCTGTTGGAAGATACAATAGGTGAAACTCTTGAAGACATAGGTGTAGTCAAAGACTTTATGAACAAAACCCCAGTTGCATAGGAAATATTACAAAAAATCAATAACTGGGATCATATCAAATTAAAACACTTTTGCACAGCAAAAGACATTACCAATAGAGTGAATAGACAACCTGTAGAACGGGAAAAAAATTTTCTACCAGCTGTTCCTCAGACAAATGACTAATAGCTAGAATACAAAGAACTAAAAAAAAATCAGACTCCCCAAATTTAAAGACCTAATCCAAAAATGGGCATCAGAAGTGAATAGACACCAGATTAAGAAGTAGAAACAGCAAATAAATATATGAAAAATGTTCAACATCAGTGGCCATTCATGAAATACAAATTAAAACAACACTGAGATTCCACCTCAATCCAGAAAGAATGGCTGGTATCAAGAAATCAACCAATAACAAATGCTGGTGGGGCTGTGGGGAAAAGGGACCTTTTTCCACTGTTGGTGGGAGTGCAGACTGGTACAGCCAATATGGAAATCAGTATGGAGATTCCTCAAAAAACTAAAACTAGAGGTTCCATTTGACCCAGCTGTTCTCTTTCTAGGTATCTCACCTAAAGTTATACGTATCATACCACAGTGATATATCCATACCCATCTTTATAGCAGTGCAATTTATAATAGCTAAATCTTGGAAACAGCCCATATGCCCATCAATGGGTGAATGGATAAAGAAAATGTGGTTTTTATATATGATGGAGTACTACTCTGCCTTAAAGAAGGATAAACCTGAGACATTTTAAAAATAAATGGATGCACCTTGAGATCATAATCTGGAGTAGTAATATCTGCAGGGCGGGGCAACCACCCGCGCCTGACGATGAAGCTGAGTCCGAGGTGTTTGGCTGTGATGCTGGGGCCGGCAGCAAGGACACCGGGGAGCATCACAGAGGGTGACACGGGCGGAGACTGCAGGGCCTCGGCCCCCGGCTGGGCCAGCTCCTCTGTGCACCGCCCTGGGCGCCGATCGCCTCGCCGGCTCCTCTTACTCCTTCTCGGGCCCTTCCGGAAGCCCAGGGAACTCAGAGGGCGGACTGAGAGCAGTCCTCCCACCCGGCCGGCAGGCAGCGGCACAGGAGGACGGAGCGGACAGAGCTGCTGTAGTGGGGAGGCCCTTACCCGCGATCGGAAAGCCACCGCCCTCAGTGTGAGAGAAGTCCTTCCTTTCACGTAGACACTGATACCTGAATCACCTTCGTGACAAAGTCTTTGCTGAAAGAAACCAGGTAAGAAAAGTAATCTGTAAAGCTTGACTACATTTTTTACTTATTTACTTACTTACTAGGTATTGAACCCAGGCCCTTTGCACTAACCTACATCTCTGGCCTATCTATCTATCTATCTATCTATCTATCTATCCATCCATCCATCCATCTATCTATTTTAGAAACAAGGTCTGGCTAAGTTGTTAAGTTTCCCGGGCTGGGCTCAAACCTGCTATCCTGCCTCAGCCTCCCAGAGTGCTGGGATTGGGGGCATGCACCACCACACCCGGCTCTAAGTGTTCTTTTTATAACCCTTATTAAAAGCCCCACGGCTGCAGGAGAGAAGGCATGGGGGCCTCTACCTAAGCCCTGACCTGGACGGTTCCCGGGCTGGCGGACGGGAGAAAACCGAGGCCTCGGCTGCAGAGCCCACGGGTTCGCCTGCTTCTCCTCTGTGTGCTGAGCAGGCGGGGAGAGAATTGAGAGCGGGGACAGAGCCTATCAAAGCCTTTCCTCTGGGGTTCTAGGCGCAATCAAGAAGTCTGTTCTCACTGAGAAAGACAGCAGCAAGGGGGCAGCGTGCAGCGCTCTGGAGGCTGAGCCAGTCTGGATTCCAAAGCCCAGCACCCAGGTAAGGATGGTTTTGCTCTAAGTTAACAGAATCCTGTTCTAACCAAGGCCTGTGAATAAGATTAGGGATGGAAATGCTGGACCTGAATTTTATCTAGTAAAACCAAGGAAGGGAGGTACCAATCTAGCATAGATCTTAGTAACCTCCAATTTCAGCTAACTTAACGAATAATTTGGTTTTTGTTGGAATGGTGGGGTGGGGCACCATGAGCACCTGTTTCTCAGAGGAACCGGCCACGTCACTGACACCCGGGCAGCCCTGGTCATCTGGTGGGAGAAACTTTGCCAACGCTGAGTCTCCAAAGAAACCTAAAAACGAAGGCAGAGAATGTCAGAACAGGACAGGCGACCTCTCTGCCTTAGGCAGGGAATAAGGCTACATCCCGTCCGGTTCCTGGGTCAGAGGAAGGGCATGTTTGGACATAAGTGAGCAGTGGTCATAAGGAAGGATGAATGTCTGGGGTGAGGTGCGTGTGTGGGGCTTTCAGAGGGCAAAGGGAAGTTCTGGGCGTGGACAGGACGGGTGGAATCCTCCACTGTGTGTGTTGACTTCCTGTTGTAGGAGCCAAACCAGGGAAGACACAATGCGATGTTCCAGCAGGACCTGCTTCGTAGCCTCCTCGGGCATCTCACTCCTGTGGCTCTTCATCACTTTGCAGATCCCCAAGGGGGCTGAGGACGGCCGAGATGTGATACCCATGAAAGGCCAAGTAGCAACCCTGTCCAAAGTTGGGAATCGGGGTGTAGGGTGGGAATGGTGAGGACAGGTGGGTTCCCCAAAGCACCAGGGTTTCCCTCTTCCCTTACATTTCCACCTGAGAGGGTGGAGTTGGGGCCCATGAAGAAACTGCACTTGTTTTTCATGTTTGTTAAGGTACGGAGGGGAGCGGGACTGCTGGAGCCCGGGATCCCTTGGCCAATGGCTCCGCATCCTGAGCATGGGCTGGACTCGCTCTAGGAGGAGTGACCCATTCCACCTTTTCCCTTCGAAAGCTTGTGAGAAGCCACTGGGGATAAATGCTGTTCTTTTTACAGAAGGATTTCTCTGTTTTGTCTTTGTTGATGCCCCAGGAGACCAGTTATGACAGCAAGAAGAACCCGAGGCCACTGGAAGACTGGCACATGACCACCTCCAAATATATGACAAAAATCCCACAGAGAAGGAAGAGTGAGGGCCAAGGAGAGGGAGGGGTGGGGCTTCCCAGGGAAACACGGATATCAGGAGAGGTGAGGTATCCAGGCACAGTGGCACACACCTGGGATCCCAGCTACTTGGGAGGCAGAGGCAGGAGGATCACAAATTTAACATCAGCCTGCGAAATTTAGTGAGACCCTGTCTCAGAATAAAATGAAAAGGGCTGGGGATGTAGCTCAGTGGTAGAGCAATACTGGTTCCATTTCCAGTACTGGAAGAAAGAGGGAGAGAGAGAGAGAGAGAGAGAGAGAGAGAGAGAGAGAGAG